ATGCATATAGATAGAGTTAACAGGATGGGTGACCTTGATTACTTATTACTGTCTTATTAATGGATATTTTTATGTTGGGTAAGCCGGATACTGCTGAAGAAATCATGCATGAAATGATTAAAATGGGAGTCGAGCCTACCGTTTGATGCCTTGATGGGTATTCAAGAAGCAAGTGTTTGAAGAGGCTTCTCGTTTATTTGTGAATATGAGAAAGGAAGGATTCTTGGCAAACATGGTCACTCGTAATATTTTGATAAGCTTTCTGTGCAAATTTGGGTTATTTTAGCAGGCGAAGGAAGTTGTGAGAGCGATGGTTGCTCAGGGCTTGAATCCAGATTTTGTAACATACACCACACTTCTGACAAGCTTTTCGTAAGAAGAGCAGTGCTGAGGAAGTCATTAAAATGCACGATTTGATGGTGCTCGCGGAGTAATCCCTGACAGCCAAACATATAAAGCCGTTGCTAGTCGACTTATTAAAGAAACCTCTATTGAGTTTGATTAAGTGGTGTATATATTTTAGTTCTGTTTATGCATCTGATAGAAAATACATATTCACTGGTATTATATAATTCGATAAGAACAGCATCTATTGTTTGATTATTTTTAAGCAGTTTTACATGCTCAAAAGTACAAATGAAGTAGCTGAAAACAGAGAATATTGAGAATCACAAACGAAATGTCGCATATTCCAAGAGTAAGAAAAGAAATAATTTGCTTAGAGAAGGAAAAAGAAGAGAGAGTCCATGTGGGCCCTCATCCACATCTTGGTCAGAAGATTATAAGTCCGAAATAATGTAATCAAGGGATCAAAATATCTTTGCAATTTATAGTTCTTCCACAATGCAATCTCCAACGTTCAAATTCTTATCCTAAAACCTCATCCAAAAATCTACCTCTCATTCTTTTGCTATCTTCACCTCCAATACAATTCACCCACAAAAACCAACATCCATACATAACAGAGATAAGATTCAGACCAAAAGCTTCTGAAACAAACGCACTTCTTCTCTCATTCCCCAATAGCTATCTTTTTGCAGAGCTCCAAAAAAAGGTGCAGATACCATGTCTTGTTCACATCTGACAATGTTGGTGTCCTCAAAACCTTCTCCCTCTGATGCCTCTTCTCTCTCGTCTCGCTCTTTCCTCAGCCCTTTTCCTCTTCCTGCCCATAATTCAAACGCCTCCAGCCCTTCTAGATCATCAGTCACCCCAATTCAATGTGGTCTTCGTGAGCTTCGGGAACGCATTGATTCTGTCAAGAACACCCAGAAAATCACTGAGGCTATGAAGCTTGTGGCTGCTGCTAAAGTGAGAAGAGCACAAGAAGCTGTGGTCAACGCTAGGCCTTTTTCTGAAACTCTTGTTGAAGTTCTTTACAATATCAATGAGCAACTCCAAACTGATGATATCGATATTCCTCTCACCAAGGTTAGGCCAGTCAAGAAGGTAGCGCTTGTTGTTGTCACTGGTGATCGAGGTCTCTGCGGTGGTTTCAACAATTCGATCATCAAAAAGGCTGAGTCCCGTATAAGAGAATTGAAGGAACTCGGTCTTGATTACACTGTGATCAGTGTCGGTAAAAAGGGTAATTCGTATTTTCTCCGTAGGCCATATATTCCAGTCGACAAGTTTCTTGAAGGTAGTAATCTTCCTACTGCTAAAGAAGCTCAGGCAATAGCTGACGATGTTTTTTCGTTATTTGTAAGTGAAGAGGTTGATAAGGTTGAGCTTCTTTATACAAAGTTTGTGTCATTGGTTAAATCTGATCCAGTGATCCATACCTTGCTTCCATTATCACCAAAAGGAGAAATTTGTGATGTGAATGGGATTTGTGTGGATGCAGCCGAAGACGAGTTTTTTAGGTTGACAACAAGGGAAGGGAAATTAACTGTGGAAAGAGATGTTGTAAGGACTCGGACATCAGATTTTTCGCCAATTTTGCAATTCGAGCAGGATCCTGTGCAAATTCTTGATGCTCTGCTGCCACTATACTTGAACAGTCAAATCTTGAGAGCATTACAGGAATCAATAGCCAGTGAACTTGCTGCTAGGATGAGTGCCATGAGCAATGCTACTGATAATGCAGTCGAATTGAAGAAAACATTGTCTCGAGTTTACAACAGACAACGTCAAGCAAAGATTACTGGAGAGATATTGGAGATTGTCGCTGGAGCCAATGCTTTGACTTAAGTACAGTTCTTAACTTCTGGGTCCCTCGTAATTATGCTTCTCCGTCAGGTATTTTTGAGGGAGATTTCATTTTTATTCCTGTTATGCTTATTTAAGAGAAAAATACATTGGATTAGATAAATTTTATTATAATTCTCTTCTCAAATGCTTATAAACTTTGTACAAGATGAGAATCTCCATGTATTTTGAAACATAGAGAGTATTCACTCTATATATATATATATATATTTTTTTTTTTTTTTTTG